GGTGCGCGGGCGGAGCGGGGCGGCCGGGCCGAGGCGGGGCTTCCTCCCGCTCGCTCCCGGGGCCGGTTCCCCGGTCTGAACTGTCCTCCCCCCGCCGTTTCCCCTTCCGTCCACCGCACTCCGCGCCCCGGCCGCTCTCGTCCCGCTGGAGGCTGCGTCCTCGCCCGGGGACTGCGCGCCAGGGGAAGGGAGGGAGGCGCTGGGGTCACTGCGCCCGAATTCTGCTGCCCCGGCGGGCCTCCCCGCTGCCAGCTGACATAGTGGTCTCTTCTCAGTAACAGGGATTAGTGATCATGTCAAAAATCAGCAGCATTTTTACCTATTTTATATTTTCAACTTTTTATAGTGGGGACTTGCGAACATGCGTTTAAGGAAAGAGAGATTAGTTTAATGGACTCCGTGCACCCATCACCCAGCTCCAACATCACCAGCTGATTAGGACCCCCCACCCCCTCCCGTGCCCACTATGATACGGGAATGAAATTCCCAGCCTCCCTCTGCCCTCCTCCCAACACTTCATCTCACACCGGCTGCTTTCCGTTCCTCAAAACCCCAAGGTTGTTCCCACCTAGAGCGTTTGCACTTCCCTTTCCTCCAGATCTTCCCACGCCTGTGTTTTTGGCGTTCAGGTCTTAGCTCAAACTGTCACCTCCTCAGAGGCTTCCCTGACCAGGCAAAGCAGCTCCCTGCCTCCACCGCATCACCCTCAACTGCCTCACCCGGCTTTATTACCTTGTGCAGCAGTTCTCCCAACCCGCAGTCATCTTACTAGGTCACTTGTTTACCCGTTCATGGCTTGTCTCCCCGCCAGGCTGTGCACCCTGTGGGCTGGACTGTGTTCCTCTTGTTCATTCACCTATCTCAGGTGCTGAGAACGGAGTTGTGCCTTTGTAGAAAAGCAGTAAACATCTGCGGCACAGATGCAGTTTGTCTTGCCGATAGGGCAGACCCTGGGCACTTCGGAGAGGGGCTGGCTCCCACCAGTGCAGTGCCTGCTGGGCCAGGGCCAGGGCCAGGGCCAAGGCAAGAGAGAGCAGGAGGAAGAGCTGACCCCGCTCCCAGTGCCTCGGTCCAGACCTTCACTCGGCCCAGGGCTCCGGCCTGCAGGGCTGGTGCCAGGAGGCATGAGCTGAGCAGTGGGGACCTGCGCTCCTGGGTGGTGTAGGCAGAGGCTGCGAGGGGGCCCCAGGGCTGGGGATGTGCCTCTCCCAGCCCAAGTGGACCGGGGCCAGGACATGGACTGAGAAGGGAGGAGATGGGGCAAAGGAGGAGAGAGGAGGGAGAGGCCAAGAGAAAGAGGAGGGTGGATGTGAAGGGCAAGTGAGGGGGCCACCAGCTGTGGCGGTGGAGACCCCGCATCCCACCACCCCCACTGCTGTTACCCCGTCAGCAAGGACAGACAGTGCTCCCTGGGCATCTGGCAGGAGCCACAGCCCCACACAAGTATTCAGACATTTACAAACGCACTGCCAACATTTCATACTGAGAGATTTCACACAAAGATCAGGATTTTCAGCTTCTCTTACATCCGAAGATTTGAGAGGCTGGTCCCTGTCTCCACACAGAGCTGTCCCTTCAGATGGGGCGCATGTTCTCCTGTTCACTGCAGTCCCCCGGTCTTTTCCCTCTTAATCCACTTTACCCATGTACGTACCTCCAGCTGAATAAGCATCTGAATTGATGCGTCCTGACAGTATAGCCAGGCCTCTACGCCGTACAGAGGAGAAGGGACGAGGCCCCGAGATCCCAGAGGCTGAGTTTTAACCAGAGAAGTCAGTTGGGACATTGAGACACTGGGAAATGCCATCCCAGTGTACACACTGCCTGTCGCCGGGGGAGTGGAGGGGGAATTGGAGCTGAGCCTTCAAGGCTGTGTTCTGTGACTGCCTCAGTGCCAGATCCCCCACCTCCCTGGCAAGAGGGGGCTTCTCAGGGAAGGTGGGCCCTGCCTGGGGTGCAATGGCTGTGGGAAGGGACCTGGAAGGCCCTGTGAGGGCAGGGCTGTCTTATTCGCAACAGCACCCTGGCATCTAACCCCATGCCTGACACAGAGCAGGTGTCCAGGAAAAGGAGGCCTTTTCTATGATTCTGGAAAACCAGAGGGAAGATGCACAGCTTGTTGGTCCTGGAGTCAGGAGACCCCCAACTAGCCTCATCTCACTCCTGGTCCAGGGCCCACTGGGGCCTCAGTCTCCTCATCTTCCTTCCGAGGCTGACACCCTGTGGGTCTGGGTGGAGCTCTGGGAAATCCCCTGGAGGCAGCCCGAGTTTGGATCATCCAGTCTTCCACCCCTTCCCAACAGGGACCAGCTGTGGGCGAGAAGACCTGGGCGGAGAGCCGTGCTCCTCCAAATAAGAGGAAAAACTCGTGACTCAGGGAAAGGCAGAAGTTGAGTCAGCCAAGCCACAGGCTGTGGAAGAAATGAGGTCTCCCTGAGGCTTTTCCTGCTCCTCGGGTAAGAAGCCCTGTCTGAGGGGAAGCTGGCCTCCCGCCTGCGGGAACCGGCTTTCAGGGAAGCGCAGAGGCAGGGTTTTCAAGTTAGGGCTTTGGGCAACCACCTCTGCAGAAAATGCCAGATTTTTTATTGGATCATTTCTTAAGTTCTAAGTGCCACACTCTGTGTGCTAAACGCTTCCTTACTGCCTTCGCTGTCCCCAGGCCGACCTGTCCCTCCCGGGTGGGGGCTTAAGAGAGCGAGACAGACAGCGAAGCAGTTGGGGGGGAGTAGCAAGACTGACACAGATGTTTCAGTGAGAGAGAGAAAACAAATGGGGCAAAATAGGAACCATGCATGACTCCAGGTCAGGGGTTGGCAAACTTTTTCTGTAAAGGGCCAAATAGTCAACCTTTTGGGCTTTGTGGGCCAGGATCCCTGTGAAAACTACTCGACTCTGCAGTTGGAGAGGGAGAGCAGCACAGACAGCCAGCCAGCACGCGGGCAAGCTTCCCCGGGGACACCGCCGTCTCAATGTCACGGCATTTTCATGTGTTATGAAACATCATTCTTCTTTCCGTTTTTTTCAACCACGTAAAACTATAAAAGCCATTCTGAGTTCCCGACAGATACGAAACCAGGCTGCGGGCCGGAGCTTACGGCTGTTCACCACGATTTTCTTGCAACGCTTCTGTCAGTTTGAAAATATTCAAAACAGAAAGTTGGGAAAACAAATAAAGAAAAAAGAAAAGGAAACAGGGGTTGTCCTGCTTCTCATGAGCAAATCTTGACCTTGACTCCAAATCGATTCACTTCCCATGGTTCTCCATGCTGCTTTCTTGATCACTAACACGGCTGAGCCCTGAGGCTCAGAACCACGGCAATGTGGGACACTGGGGAAAGATTTCTGTAAACAGTTACGGAGATTAGTTTTAAAGGAGGAAACTCTGAGGTCCTTATTTATTTATTTATTTATTATTTATTTTTTGAGGAAGGCTGGCCCTGAGCTAACATCTGTTGCCAATCTTCCTCTTTTTCTTTTTCTCCCCAAAGCCCCGGTACGCAGTTGTGTATCCTAGGTGTAGGTCCTTCTAGTTCCTCTATGTGGGACGCCACCTCAGCATGGCCTGATGAGCGGTGAGTAGGTCTGCGCTCAGGATCCAAACCAGCGGACCCCGGGCTGCTGAAGTGACACACGCGAACTTAGCTGCTACGCCACTGGGCTGGCCCCAGGAAACCCTGAGATGTTTAGAAACTGTGATTTCAAAAGAAAATCTCTCCAGATGTTTGGATTTTGGATTGCTGAAGTTCTGGGTTTGAAATTGAGAGCTGGTTCACCCTCTGCTGAACCTCAGCCCTGCAGCGATGTCCCCACCCCCGCTGCCCTGCCTCAGCAGTGTCAATATTTATTCCTTTCTCTGTGTGTGTGCCCGTGTTTGTCATTCCAAGGCTGCGCATCCTTTTCATGTTTGTGGGCATTTTTCTGCCTGTTTCCCATTGTGGGTGTCCACATGAGGCTCTGACCAGGCCAAACGGGAAAACAAGAATAACGAAAAGAAACACTGCCCTTTGAAAAATGCTTCAGAGGGATGAACTAAATGCTGCAGCTAAATATAATCTTCAGAGTGGTTCAGACACGCCTAGTTTCTCCAACGGGATAAAGCCAAGAGGCCCCTGACCACACAGATCTGACAAAGTTTCATCTGGGTCATTCAATCGTTCAACAAACAGTTACTGGACACACTTTGCACCACTGCAGGACGGGCAGTGGCTGCAGAGATGAATGAGGCGCTGTCTGTGCCCTTGTGGGGCTCACACTTGAGCACGGGCAGACCGGTGAACACATATTTACCCATGAGGATCGAGAACCGCTCCCCCGGAGCAGAGGGCACGGGTCTGACCACGTGTTCCTGGAGGGAGTATAAAACGACTTTGGAAAACCATTTGGTGGTGTCTACCAAAGCTCCACATACCGGTACTGTCCTATGGCCCAGAAATTCTCCTAAGTGTGTCTCCCCGAGAAACGAGGGCCATGTCTGCCAGATAAAAGCACAAGAGTGATATAAAAACATCATTCATGATAGCTCCAAAACGCACACAACCCCAATATCCACCACAAGTGTGACGGGTGATAAACAGTGGCACAGTCGCCGCACTGCCTCCTCCCCGCAGTAAAGAACACTACTCCACAAGAGAACCTACATCTCATACGGATGAATCGCACAGACCTCACACCGAGCAGGAG